GGGAGGAAACTTCTTCCTGGGAGCTTGCTAATTGTACGAAGAAGAAAGAGCTTTTGTGCTGGACCCTGTTTGCAGGTGCAGCCTGAGTTTTTTCCCAGGTTATTTTATTTTTGACTGTTGTGACTTTTCAGGCAGGCCACTTCTGCGGTCTGAATTTTTCCCAAATGACTTTTCCTTCCCTTCTGTGTCACTGAGGACAGGGCCACAGGGGTGCTGGACTGTGGGAAAGCTAGGGTGTGTGCAGAGACCTTGCAGAGGAAGGACAGATAGGGCAGCTTTCCCCAGTCTGTGCAAGGAGCTTCAGAACAGCTGATGCTTAGATGTGAGCCTGGGACCTGCAAGAACAAAAGAAACAAACCTCCCTATTGTTTATTCATCTAATAAGCTGAGAAACCCTCATGGTCATCAAATTCAATTTATAATTTCGCAAATAAGGCATTGAGCCCACCTAGTGGTCTCCAGCCTCCCAGGCCAGGCCGGCAGCACCTCCTGTTCACCTCTTGTTCTCCTCAGAGGAAAGCAGCTCAGTCTCTACCTGTCTCTGAAGGGAGCCATCCACACATGGGGGAGTGACTTAGCATATGGTTCTTTGGCAAGGAGATGCCCACTTGGGGGTTTTTGCTTAGCTTTTGGTAAGTTAAGAGAACTGTGTTCTGGGGCCTACCACTTTCACTAGACAAAAATCATTGTTACATCTGGGTGAAAGAGAAAAGATGCCTGTTTAGTTTCCTTTTTATATCTGGGTGAAAGAGAAAAGACCTACTTAGTTTCCTTTTTGTATCTGTACTTAGGGAAAAGTTAGCAGATAAACTCTACCTATTGTTTTAAATAAGGCCAATTTAAGAGTGTCAAAGGATTCGTGTTATTCACGGTTGTTTTTACTCCTGTACTCCTGTGTCGTTCCTGTACTAACACTAGTATAGACTTTCACATCTTCACCTGGAAATTTTATAATCCCAACCAAAGGGAAAGAACCCCTCTTTAATTTCTGTAATCCATTTCCTTCTTCACATGTCTTTTTATCTCTTTTTTAGAAAGTCACAAGGTTGACTTGTAATACTTCATGCTACCTGAGACGAAAGGAAAAGTCACTTTGTGCTTGACTCACATAAAATGATTGAAATACCTGTTCACAAGATTAATAGCAGAGCATTGTTTACCAACTTGTGCATTTTATTAGACATCATTTTCTTCTCTTTATGTTTCACAGAAACGAGCTCTGCAGGGATCTCTTTTGGCAATATGGCAATCTAATTACACAAATCATCCTTTCTGCTGAAAATAACTCAAAAGTTTGAAAATCAGATAATTCTTTTTTTTTGTTGTTTATGGGTAGAATCTCTTAAGGATTCTTAAAAGCACTGATGAGCTGGCAAGAAACCAAGAAATACACAGGGCAAAATCTAAGGGCAAGTGGGAACGGAGAGGCAAGCAGAGTCAGCTTTCAGCCTGCGGACATTTGCCAAGCTCTGAGCTTCAGCGTTCATTGCTTCTGGGAGCACCAGAGACAGGAGGCAAAGCATGGGACATGCTGGCAGACTTTCCCTCAAAGACAGTACCCTGAAGAACCCCACCCTTAGTGTAGGCTTGGCCTGGAAACATATCGTAAACCAAAAAAAAAAAATTCTAAGCCCCTAAGCTGACTGAATGAACCCCCAACTCTTGAACAAGGGAATCTCAAAAAAACCTGAAAAGCTAGTTTAGGCTGTGATGGGAAGGGAGATCAGATGCTTATATCCTTCCCGTTGGAGTTTAGGCACAGCTGACCAGAATTAGCATTAAAATAGAGATCAAAAGACAAAACACTTTTTGTGGCAATAAGATACCAAATTCCAACATGACTCTGGTATAGCATCACATGACAACAGGTGCTAAAGAAAATGAAAGCAGGCCGGGCGTGGTGGCTCACGCCTGTAATCCAAGCACTTTGGAGGCCAAGGTGGGCAGATCACCTGAGGTCGGGGGTTCAAGACCAACCTGACCAACATGGTGAAACCCTGTCTTTATATAAAAAAAGAAAGAAAGACAATGAAAGTATTTTGCCCCAAAGCATTTTTCTTTGATATATTTTGAAATGGTCCTGCAAAGCTTTCTCTTGTGAGGGAAATCTGCATTTTGTAGAGAATCTCCTTCCCTTTCCAGGTCTTTTCCTGATCAAAGAGAGATTTAACTGAGGATCTGACACCTTTTAAGATCCAAAAGGTGACATTTACCACCTATTCTCTCTGAAGCCTGCTATCTGGAGGCTTCATCTACATAACAAGAACCTTGGCCTGTATCACCCCCCTTATCTTAACTCAACATTTCTTTCTGCTGACTTCAATTCTTTAGGCAGAGCTTAGCTCTTTCAACCAATTGCCAATCAGAGAATCGTTGAATCCACCTATGCCCCGTGAGTTCCCACTTTGACATGTCCCACCTTTCTGGGTCAAACCAATGTTTACCTTACATGTATTAATTTATGTCTTTGCCTATAACTTCTGTCTACCTAAAATGTATGAAACCAAGCTATAACCCAATCTCCTTGAGCATGTGTTCTCAGGACTTTTTGAGGCTGTGCTATAGGCCATGGTCACTCATATTTGGCTCAGAATAAATCTCTTTAAATATCGTACAGAGTTTGGCTTTCATTCCAGCAACAATACCCACCTCTCCCCATTACCACACTATAGCATTGCAATAAGGCATTGAGCCCACCTAGTGGTCTCCAGCCTTCCAGGCAGGGTCCTGTAAAACAAGTCCTGCTGAATTCCTGTCTCACTTGCAGCACAGATTTAAACTATCTAGCTAATGTTGAAAAACGTGCTCTTTGAACGAAGAGACTTTCCAAACAGGCTTTGTGTGAGCCACATGGCTGTTTATTCACCTGGGTGCAGGTGGGCTAAGGCTGAAGAGGGCATTAGCAAAGGGCAGTGGGATAGGAGTTGGTTTTATAAGTTTGGGTAGTTTTTTTGGGGGGCAGGGGTGTTGCAGAGGAAGTTCAGTTACATGGTGGGGAGTAGGGGCAAGGAGTATACATGACCACAAGTTCAGTTACAACGACAGGGTTAGGTAAGAGGTATTTACATTATCATAAGAACAGTCAAGATGGCAGGGCTGGGTGAAGGGCTTGTCCTGGGAAGCTCTGCCACCAGGGCGATTAGGGACAATGGCGAACGCAGGCGGGGGAGTGGGAGACATAGGCCAAGGCAAGCAGGACTTCAGACTGTCAGGCTCCAGGCTTGCTGGAGACCTGACAGTTAAAACAACAGCAAGGGAAATTTCTCAGCTCCCTGGTGCAGAACAGAGGTGGGAAAACCCACCTCTGCAAAGATGTAACCATAGACGACACCTTAAACACTTTTGTGGTGTAGGGCAAACCCCAAAAGTGGGGATCAGCCCAGGAAGCCATGACTCCTTGACTCCACGCAGGAAGGAATTCAAGAGCAAGCTGACAAAGTGAAGTGAAAGCAAGTTTATTAAGAAAGAAAAGCATGGCTGTATCAAGGCAGAGCAACCCTCATAGGCTGCTGGTTAGCTATTTTTATGGTTATTTTTTGATGACTTGATAAAGCTGGGGTGGATTATTCATGAGTTTTCCATGGAAGGGGTGAGGATTTCCCAGAATTGAGGGTTCTTTTCCTTTTAGAACACATCAGGTAATTTCCGGGTATTGCCTTGGCATTTGTAAACTGTTATGGTATTGGTGGGAGTGTCTTTTAGCATGCTAATGCATTACAACTAGTGTATCATAAGCTGTGAGGTCACTTTTGTCACCATTTTGGTTTTGGTGGGTTTTGGCCAGCTTCTTTTTTTGTATGTTGTCTTATCAGCAGGGTCCTGTAAAACAAGTTCTGCTGAATTCGTGTCTCACTTGTAGCACAGATTCAAACTATCTAGTTGAAACAACAATCACAACACAGTCGGTGAAAATTTAGCTGCAAGGGACACTGGACAAGTGGTTTCTCAGGCATCTAGCAAAAGTAAGTATAAAACTTTTAGGAAAGAATCTGCCTTAATTCCAGACATCAAAGAATTTCCTCAAATAAATTTCCATGGAAAACAAGTAGCTCACAGAAAAATATAATAAACATTTAAGGACATAAGTTACCATAAAGTGAACAAGCAGAAATAACAAACACTAGAAACTGACCTGCAAAGACCTTAGATATGCAAGTAAAGAAAAGAGTACAAATCCTAAATATAGCTCAGTGAATTATCACGAGAGGAATATGTGCATGGAACAGACACAGGTCAGAAAGTAGAATATCAGCAGCGCCTAGGAGTCTCCCGTGCATCCCCTTCTGGCCACCCTTTCCTCACCTTTCTCCCCAAACTTCATACAATTTCTCTGTTAGCTAGCTATTGCCAGAAAAATGCCATATGACGAACCAGCCTGAAATTCAATGGCTTAAAAGAGCAATCACTTATAACCATAGATGAGCAATCACTTACTGTCATAGATGTGTGAATTAGCAAGAGAGTCAGTGATCGAGGCTGGGCTCAGCCCATTGGCTTTGCTACCCTGGGCTCACCTGTGTGCCTGGCGGTCAGTCTCTCCCTTTACTATTTTACTACAAGGTGATGATGCCTGGAGTCGTGTACCTCGTACAAGTAGACAGGCTAAAGGAAAATCTTTTGTTATTGAACCTAGCTCAAAAGGTTTGACCTCATTAATCGTTATCCAGATCAATTATTTTTCTGTATTTTATTTCCTAGGGTTATGTTTTTAGACCCAAACTTGGGGTTCTTCAGTCCTTTTTTTCTGTATTCTCCTTTATTTCCTCTCAATTCAAATTATGGGTATGTCTTTCTTAGCTATCTGAAGAATTATTATCTTTTGTGTCTCTGTTTTCCAGACTTACATATGAATATTCATTTACTAATTCATTCAGTCATTCGTTAATGCATTCACTCAATAGCTATCACGGAATACTTTATATTGGCCAGACATTGGGACAGGATTAGCGTGGGTACAGTCTTTGCCCTCAAGAAGTAAGTAAGTCATGATAAGACAATGAGGGAAGTTCTAAATGGAATGTATGTGTAGGTACTAAAAAGACAAAGAGGAAACTGTACCCAACTCTTCTAAGACATGTCAACATGTGCCTTGCTGAAACAGGTGACATTTAAGTCAAATCTCGAAAGAGGAGCAAGCTGAGGTTCATTTCATGACGCCAGACTGCCTCTCAAGTGAGAAGAGATGAAAAAATGTCCATCTGATTCTGAAACTGTAAAGATACTAATGACCTTAGCAAGTGAGGTGGGGTGGAGCCAAGTGGAAGGGCTGAATAGCTGTGAAGGTGATGATCGTGGGAAACCATTCACAACTGCTGATTGAGAATGAAAGGAGAGAGATGGGTCATAGCTACTTAGGAATGAGACAGGGTTGTGGATTTCTTTATTAAGTTGGGAGGTGGGAGCATTTTAGCAAACGAGGCAGTAGAAAGGAATTAAGAAAATACAGTAACTTCCTCTCTGGGAGAACCCTCTCTCAGTTTCTTCAAAATTACCTACTCTTCATCCCTTCTTTTGGATCTTGTGGTTTCTCTTACTTGGTTCTATTATTTCACTTCATTACTCTTCCTTGTTGCCAGTTTCAAAATTATTATATACTCTATGCTTTGCCACTGTCTTCTCAATATAAATCTTAAGATCTAAAAACCCATGAATGCATTAAACTAAGTCAAGCTGCATCCAAATCAAAGTACCCTAAGATTTACATATATTTGAGAAGTAAGCTCTTTATTTATGTAAGTATTCTAGCATTCTAAGGAACCAAAGTACCTATGTGCCTGAAGAGTCTTTGGAAGCCTGCCAACCAACACTGAGTCAGCCTCCATCAAGAGAAAAACATGGAGCAAAGGCCATGAGAAGACCCCAAATGTAAAACAGTGTCCTAGGCTCCGTCCTTGAGGGTCATATAATATACATCTTGCAAAGCTTAATGTTTTCTGCTAAAACAGGTTTATGGAAGGCCTTTAAAACTTAAAGAATTGAAAGATGAGTCCATTTAGTTGCATAACAAAATGTCAACTGAACACAGAAAATTATTATGCCCTTTGGCCCATTTGATGCCTGGGCATCAGGGTATCTTTGGAAATTACCTCCACTTTTTGTCAAGGGCATTGTACAACAAAAAGGTAAGGACAGAAAGGAGAAATTTTGATTTTTTTCCTGTGGTTCATAGATCAGTTACAGCTCCACATTTCGAAATGTCAGACCTGCATTTACAAAGGCAATTTTGTTTGTAACTACATGAATAATATATAAACACACAATTACTGGAAAATATTCTTTTTTTTTTAAATTCAGACAGAGTCTCACTCTGTCCCCAGGCTGGAGTGCAGCTGCGCAATCTCAGCTCACTGCAAACTCCGCCTCACAGGTTCAAGCAATTCTCAGCCTCCCGAGTAACTGGGATTATAGGTGCCCACCACTAAGCCCAGCTAATTTTCTTGTATTTTTAGTAGAGATGAGGTTTCACCATCTTGGCCAGGCTGGTCTTGAACTCCTCACCTCGTGATCCACCTGCCTCAGCCTCCTAAAGTGCCAAGATTACAGGTGTGAGCCACTGGAAAGTATTCCAATAATCAAACCTATTGAATAAAATGTTATGAGTCCCCTTTGACATAGCAGCCCTACTGTTTCCTCACTTCGACATATACTTTTCTAGACCTTTTTCTGGACATTTTTGTGCATGGATATGTGTAAATTAAATTTATTTACACATCTACTTTTAAATTTTAAAAAATATTTTGCATGGTAAAATCATTAATTTGCAATTTGAGTTTTTTTTCATTTAATAATGTAGCTTGAAGAGCATACAAATCTCATATTTTTTTGTATTCACTGAATAATATAATCTGGGTATGTTGCAATTGATTTATTCAGCCCACCATTAGTGGATATTTAGGTGATTTCCAATTTTTTTTTCCTGTTTAAAAACAGTGCTGAAATGAACATTCTTGGGCATATACCCTTTTGAACATGTGCAAATATGTGTGTAGAATAGATTCCTTTGTTCCTGGTGTCCATCATATACTTCTTGAAGGTGGTGCTTCCTCCTACCTCCTGCCCAGATTCCCTTGGATTCTGGCTGCGTATGTGGCCATCCTTTGACTTCTGTGTGCTTTTTTCCTGTGGCCACACCTGTGGCTCTCTTGGGACTACAGTCCTGAGCCACTTTGCCCACACCAGCAGACGGTCAGAATTGCCTGGGAATTTAGGCTCCTTTTGGGTGGGCCTTAGCAGATGACAGGTAGGACAGGTTATGAAAGTCCAGCTCTTTCCTTTGAGTTGGGACATACTTGGAGGTGCGTGTGCATTTCAAAGCTCCTCTGAACCATCAAGCTAAAGCTGGGATTTTGCCTAAAAGTACACTCTCCCTTGACTTCTCTTCCCTTTCTGGCTGCCCCACTCATTCATCAGCACTTCCATAACATATCACTTGCATATGAATCCTTGACTCAAGGTCTGCTTTTGGTGCAACCAAGTCAAGACCTCCCTGTACTGAACAAACTTAGTACAGAGTTTGCTCCAGAGAAAGCACTGTCCTTAAAGATTGCCCCTGTCTCCCTATTGGGAGTTGTATTTGTTCTACCAACTGTGATGGCTCATTTTATCCAACAACTTGACTGAGCCAGAGGATGCCCAGATAGCTGTCTAAACGTTATTTCTGGAAGAGGTTAGCGTTTGAGTTGATGAACTGAGAAAAGCAGACAGCATCATCTAAACCATTGAGAGTCTCAGTAGAACGAAAAGATAGAAGCAGGTTGAATTAATTCTGCCTGACTGCTTGGGCTGGAACATCTATTTTCTCCTGCCCTCAGCTCTCCTTGTTCTCAGGCTTTTAGAACTGGAATGGAATCTATGTCACCAGGTCTCTGGCTTTTAGGCCTTCAAACCACATGACTGGCTTTCCTAGGTCTCCAGCTTGCAGACAGCAGATCATGGAACTTCTCGGTCTCCATAATTGCATGAGCCAATATGTTATAAAAATCTCTTTTTATATATCTTCTGGTAGTGTTTCTCTGGAGAATCTTGACTAATACACTTACAGTTTAGGATGGAGTTGGATGGTTCTAAGGCTTCTTTAGCCTGTTAAGAGCCTACTGTTATAGAGCCCTAAGGGAGTGGGGCAAGATGGTAGAAGGAAAGGGCAGACAGCAAGTGTCTGGCACCATATCCAGGCAAGAGCCCTGCTGCTTATGTCCCCAAGCTGCCAGTCTTCCAAGCTTCTACCTTTGGCTTCAATTAGAGGCAGATGGAGGATGTCTAGACAACAAATGAGTTCTGGAGATAAAAAAGGGAGAGCCACTGGTCAATGAGGCCAGTAAGAACAAAGCTCGTTTCTTTTCCTTTCTCTGGTTTGCAGGTGGAAGGCAGCCTCTGCTCAATGTTAACTGAATCTTGAATGCAGGCCTTCCTATCCAACCATCTGCAGTGTGATTGGGTTGCTGCTGTGAGGGAAGCTGCTCACTTTCCCTTGGTTTGCCTCACTTCCTGGCGCAGTGCCTCTCCACATCCTAATAAGAATGTGAAGGAGGTATTTGCCTGCTGCTTTCTGCCAGCTCAGTGCTGCTGCAGTAGAGCGGGATCTTGGACCCAGATCATCCGTCCTCCATTGTAACCCTCTTGGTAGTACTTATCATCACCCCATGGTTGAAAGTAGAGCTGAAGAAACCCATTCTACACACACTTGAATGTGTTCAACAGGGCATCTACACAAGAATGCTCACTTTGGCAATGCTCTGATCCTGAAGATGTGGCTGTGCTTCTAGTTTCATGGCCAGGACCAATTATGCAATAAAGTTTAGCCACCCATGATGATAACTGAGTGCAGATCAGGGGCAGCTGATGATGAGTAGACGGAATGAGGAAAGAAAGGAATGTATAAAATTGGCTACAGGATAAAATCAAAGTCACACTGGGGAAGTTTGGAGAGAGAACATAGCCTGCTTCCATTCCATTTCTATGATGACTTCTGGCAAATTTCTGGAACAATTGCTGGAGAGCACAGTAAAACTGAAGCCCCACCCGGATAAACTAAAAGGTGGAGAAAGGATCATGACAATCACGGTGGGGATTCTCCTGCACTGTCCTAAATTCTCATTTGACCTATAGATATTATCTTGAAAACGACTTGTTTTAATTTACTTAATGTTCAGCTTTAGTAGCTAAGCTGTTTATTTGTATAGTTACCTTCCCATCCTCTGCCCTCTACATTCTAGAATAGGACACGTTGTCCACGTAAAATTTTAAACTTTAAAACCTGGGCAGCCCCTGACCAGTTGGTAACCCTTAGGCTCTGTCCACTCAACCCATGACCTCCACCTATCTTCCTCTAAACTGTAACATGGAGTAACTATTATATCTTCAAAGCACAGATCTTTTGAAGATTATGATGCTGCAACTGAAACTTATGAAGCCTACCAAGCACGCCTAAAAGTTGTCAATTTCTTAAAGAGATTTCCAAGTTAAAACTAAAAAAGAATATCCATTAATACAAGACTGACTTTTTAAATTTTTATTTTGTTTTTAGAAATGGGGTCTTGCTTGTGGCCCAGTGCAGAGTACAGTGATGCAATCATAGCTCACTGAAGCCTTAAACTCCTGGGTTCAAGTGGTCCTCCCATCTCAAGGCTGACTTTTTAATCACAGAAATGTTAAGAACGCACCTAAATCTTTTCGTATTTTTTCCATAATCCACGTCTTCAGCTCACAAAAAAGTCCTCACATAAAATAATTTGAAATGCCATATCCTGACATTGCTTCCAAAGGTTTGAATGTCAAATAGATCAAAAGTGGGTTAAAATGTATTTAAAGAATGAGGTATGTGATCTTGGGAAAGAGTTTAGGACAGGCTGGCATACATTAAGAATATGAAGACATGGAATATATTAATGTGTGAAGATACTCTCACATTTTTTATCTATAGACTCAATGACCTCAGCAATATTAGCCTGCTTGCATGGGTCAGATTGGAAGCACATGTAAGTCTGTGTTAAATGCAGGTTTTAAAGCTCTTGCATATCCATAGATGAAAGGTATGCTATAAGTAACATTATTACATAGGTAAATTGTATACTTTTTGCAATATTTAAATGATTCAGGAGAGTGACTTTGTAATGGAAAGGACCATTATGCAGAATTGTGCCCAGAGAAGGTAATTGCAGCCAGGTTGCTATGGTCTGAAGGAGAATGAATGAGCATTCATCCGTGAACCTCCTTTTCCATCCTGGCACCCTCAATGCCTTGATGTGGACAATTAAACCATCACTTTCTTTTCTTGCACCAGTTCTAACATTCAGGAATTGTAACCGTATCCTCCCTTTATTTAAACAGATATTTGAAAACCAAGTTGTCTGAATTTATGAGTTTATTAATAATTATAATCCATATGAGAGTACTGAGGGAATTCTTTTATTTAAAAAACAAGTGGTAGTAACTGGAGGCAGTGGCTCACACCTGAAGTCCCAGCTGCTTGGGAGGCGGACAGGGGTGGATCCTTTGAGCCCAGGGGTTTGAGCCAACCTGGGCAACATAGTGAGACTCTGTCTTTCTGAAACAAAACAAAACAAACCCCATGGTGTGATATAAATATTTGATATCCTTTTTGATAACAGTTGTATTGTTATTTCCCTTAAATCTAGTGAATCTGATTAAGAGAGATTTAAAGCAAATATGAGCAAGAAAGGGGAAACCTAGATGAACGCAATTATCATTGAAGACGGCAGTTCTGGTAAGGAGAGGGGTAGGGGTATTCAGTGTTCATATGAGCATGCAGTCAGGAAGGGATCTAGACATGAGACGTGACCTTGGACATTTATACTCCATTGTGTAGAATATGCAGAGTAAATAAACTGAATCTGAGTTATAAGCTAGAATAGGAAATAGATTTGGAAAATATTGCTTAAAATGGAACACAGGGATGGAGAAGCTTGTTCTATGCAAAAGAAACAGACAGTTAAGCAGCAAGGCTGGGGTCTATAATATGTCTGGTTATCCACAAACCTGTCAGCAGAAATCTTGGTGGAGCATAGCAGTAAGGATTGAAGAAACAAGTTGAAACAACACCCTTGTGGACATATGCTACAGGCCACCTGATCTGTTAGAGGAAATAGGTAATAAGGTTCCAATGCAAATATTTTATAGCTCACTATCCATTAGCTGAAATTACAATATCCAGAAAGCTCTAAAAGGTGTTTTTTTTTTTTTTTAAATAAATCATTTGGCAGCAAAATTTGACCTGATATGAAACTATTTAGAGTCTTTTTTGTTGGTGATGGTGCTTGTTTCTGTAACTTTTAATTAAACGAAGTGCACACATATGGGAGAAGACATTAGGAAATACAGATAGGAGTAGAAAATGAAAATCACCTACGGTTCCACTATTCAGTTATAAAGACAACTCATGCTTTGGTGTGTCTCCTGCCAGACTTTCATAGTTTTTCACCTACCTACTTACCTGCCCACCGACCTACTTATCCACACACCGACCTACTTACCCGCACACCTAGCTGCCTACTGATATGGCTACCATCCATCTATCTCTATTACCTAGATATCTATCTCTAATACCTATGCAATATGTAGCTATTTTTACAAAAGCCAAGATGTACCATTGTATACAGCACATTGTTTTATGAACTGCTTTCTTTTTCATTAAGCAAGGGATCACAAACAGCTTTTTGTGAAATTTACTGCAGATTTTTTTCATCATATAAAAATGATGCATTTACGGGAATATACCTTATTTATGTACCAAACCCAATTTTATAACATTTCATATTTTTGTATTTTCACTATCAAAAGCCATGTTGTGATGAACATGCTAATAACTAGATCTATGCAAATAATTGTAATCACTTCCTTAGTGTGAACTTCCAGCTGTACAACTGCAAGTCAAAAGCTTTTTTGCTAAGTATTTTATAAATTTGCCAAATAGCATTCCGAAAAGTTTGTACTAACATGTAATCACCCCTCCAATATGTTATCACACTCCCAATATGCTAAAATGCTCATTTTCCTGCAATCTTTCAACACTGAGTAACAAAGTTAAAAATCTCTGCCAACCACTTAGGTGGAAAATGGTATTTAAATATTTCAGTTTCGATATCTTTGATGACTAGAGAAATTGAGCACTTCTTCATGAATTAATCAGCCAATTGTATTTTTTAAATAAATCTTTTTATTGAGGCAAAACGCAAGTAAAGAAAAGAGTAAAATCCTAAGTATAGCTCAGTGAATTATCACGAGAGGAATATGTGCATGGAACAGACACAGGTCAGAAAGTAGAATATCAGCAGCGCCCAGGAGTCTCCCGTGCACCCCCTTCTGGCCACCCTTTCCTCACCTTTCTCCCCAACCTTCATACAATTTCTCTGTTAGCTAGCTATTGCCAGAAAAATGCCATATGACGAACCAGCTCGAAATTCAATGGCTTAAAAGAGCAATCACTTATAACCATAGATGAGCAATCACTTACTGTCATAGATGTGTGAATTAGCAAGAGAGTCAGTGATCGAGGCTGGGCTCAGCCCATTGGCTTTGCGACCCTGGGCTCACCTGTGTGCCTGGTGGTCAGCTGATCTAGATGGGGCTTAGCTGGGCCACTATCCTGACATGTAACATGAGTTAAGCTTCACTTCTGTTAGGATTTTATATAAATGAACTCATACAGTATTTTTCTACATCTGGCTAATTTCACTCAATATTATTTTTTAAGTTTTGTCCAATGTGTTCAGGAGTATGTTTTGTACCAGCTCACAAGAGTTGATTGTTACATTTTCAGAAATTTTGAAATTTATCTGTTACCTGGTGGGGGAGATACCATGATCACGAAGGTGGTTTTCCCAGGGCGAGGCTTATCCATTGCACTCCGGATATACTGACCCCTGCGATTTCCCCAAATGTTTGTGGTAGTGGGGGACTGTATTCACGTTTTCCCCTGGTGTTAAAAAAAAAAAAGTAAAATTAAAAAAAAGAAAAAGAAATTTGTTAAACATAAT